GGGTGATAGTGGATCGGTTAACTAAAGTTGCTCACTTTATACCGGTTAAGACAACTTATAAGAGAGAATTCCTTATTTGACACTAGGAAAATGAGTCGTTCCTTTCTTGGCCCTGAAATTTTCTTCGTTCCCTATTTGACACTCACTTCAACTTTCATCCCTAATTTGACACTACCGTCAAATCCGTTAGCTAAGTTAACTGGCTGTTAAAAAGACGTTTTTCCCCTAGAAAAAAAAGTGGCGAAGCAAATTTGCGAGGAAAAAAACTACGCCTGCGATGCATGCGCCAAATTTTTTGCAAAAAAGGCGAGTTTTTTCTTCCTCTCAAATTTGTTTTTGTCGCTTTCTATGGGCAGATGAGAGCTTTTTTTTCTAGGGCAAAATGTCTTTTAATAGCCAATTAGCACCGTTAGCTAACGGATTTGACGGTAGTGTCAAATTAGGGATGAAAGTTGAAGTGAGTGTCAAATAGGGAATGAAGAAAATTTCAGGGCCAAGAAAGGAACGACTCATTTTCCTAGTGTCAAAGAAGGAATTCTCTCTACTTATAATGGACCAAAGTTGGTCCAATTATATATGAAGAAGATAGTGTGTCTACATGGAGTTTCCAAGAAAATTATGTCGGATCGGGTTACTCAATTTACATCTCATATTTTTGAAGCAAGTACATAGTTGTTGGGAACAAAGTTGAATTTTAGTACAGCATATCATCCTCAGACAGATGGACAAACTGAGAGAACTAAATAGATTTTAGAGGACATGTTGAGAGCTTGTGCGTTGTAGTACGGTACAAGTTGGGATAAGAGTTTTCCTTATGTAGAGTTCTCATATAACAACAGTTATCAAAAGAGTCTCAATATGGCACCTTTTAAGGCTTTGTATGGACAAAAATGTAGAACCCCATTGTTTTGGAATCAAACGGGAGAAACTCAAGTGTTCGGACCGGATGTTTTAAGAGACGCAGAAGAGAAAATAAGGATGATTAGAGATAACTTGAGAGTGGCACAATCTCGACAGAAGAGTTATGCTGATACTCGAAGAAGAGAATTGGTTTTTGAAATAGGGGATTATGTTTACCTAAAAGTGTTACCAATGAGAAGTGTGAGAATGTTTAACATGAAAGGAAAATTAGCACCAAGGTATATCGGGCCTTTTAAAATTATTGAGAGACATGGAGAAGTGACTTATCAGTTGGAATTGCCTGAGAGTTTCTCAGGTGTACATGATGTGTTTCAAGTGTCTCAATTAAAAAAGTGTTTGGGTGTACTGGAGGAGCAGATACCGTTAGAGGAGCTTACGGTTAGGGAAGATATCACTTATGAGGAATTTCCGGTAAAGTTTTTGGAGACAACAGAAAGGGTTACGAGGAGCCGAATTATAAAGATGTGTAAGGTTTAGTGGAATTGGTATACAGAAGATGAGGCTACTTGGGAGCCGCATCGGACTCTATTGCAGCGCCGCCTCCGACTCTGCCGCTGCTACGCATCGCCTTGTCGTGCCTCCCAAGGCTCCGGGGCCTTAAATAGCAGTCGCACCGCACCGCTACCCCTGCATAACCATCAGCGCAGCCGTAGCCTCACCGAGTCGACGCGGCACTGTAAAACCCTAGCCGCCGATGAGCCGCCCGCCTCGCCAAGCACGTCGCCCGTCTGCTCCACGCCGCTGAAAATTCTCTTGGTGAGTTCGCCTCGCCGTCCTCTCCCTTCCCCTGACTTTCCCGTGGCCAATGATGCCCCGAGTCATCGGATTGATGAACTCCAGCGAGGTCTCATCGTTATCCATGGAAGACCGCCATGCACAGCGTTGTCGCCAGCCGCGCGCCTCTATTTTCCCTCTCGATCTGTTCTGTGCCGTTAGATTTTGATCCAACGGTGGAAAATAGCCCGTACAGGTTCGGCTGGTCGTTTTTTCAAAAGAGCCCCTGCAATTTTTTATGTCTAAACCCGTCAGACAATGGCGTACTCCTGGAATACATTTTCCTATTATGAAAGCGGAGTTTCCTTCTAGTAGGTTCAAAATACGCTTTCATCTATTTACAGTTTTGCCACTAATCTTGTTTTAGCCCTAAAATCTTCGTTTTAACTCCGATTTGATCCGTTCAAGTTGCGTTAGATTCATAATTGCGTAATCTACATGTTCATACTACTGTTAAGTATGTTTTCAACTTTTGAAATTCGAGGTTAGATTTAATTTATTATTTTATTAAAGAAAATCTTGTTTAATTCATAACTTCTTCGTTTTAGCTCCGATTTTTGTGATTTTCGTGTCTGTGTGTTCATAGCGAGACGTAGATTCGTTTTACAAACTATTTATCTTGATTTTATGCTATTGGTGTACTGTTCTTATCTATAGCCTTTGTTTACTATGCATGATTGCTTCTGGATGCTTGTATGTTGCTGTGATTATCGCGTATAGACGGTGAGCAATTCGGAGTTGATCAAGAATAATACTTTGACGAGCAGGATCAGCATGAACACTTTGTTCAAGGCAAGTATAACATAGGATCAGCCTTGTTTCCTATCAACTTTAATACATTTAATTCATATTACATGTGTCACTTTGATAGGGATTTCCTAGAATTGAACTTATACCTTGTCTCTTATGGGATATGCATTGGGTAGCTTTGTTAGTGCTCAACTAAACCATGATCTTGTAACTTGACTAATGGTATATGTAATAAACATTAAAACGTGACTTTTTAGCAACTTGAAAACAGGGGGCTGGAGTATTTAGGTACTTTCTAAATGCTTCAGATTTCTCTCCCTAAGGACTTATCTGTAAGTGATCATCCGGAACTTACACTACAGCTGTGAGGGCCACATGGCTCTGGTTTTAGCTCAGTATGAGGACCTTTTCTAGCTTGTTAGAGGTTACCTTTATGGCGTAAGAATGACTTGCCGAATCGGGTATATGACAACATCTACTCTTATGTGTATAGCCAATGATAGAATTGTGTCATTCGATACGGGGTTTCTATATCTGTTTGTTGAGTGAATCTAATGGCCTCAACTTGTTAGACGAATCTTTGAAAGGCTTCATAGTGAACCCTGCCTGCTCACCTTATGAGTGTTTTGGGAGTAATTAACCTGGGTATATTGGTATCACGACTCACAGTGAAAGTGTACAACCTCTGCAGAGTGTAAAACTGGTATATCAGCCATGCTCATGGTCATGAGCGGTCTTATAACCCTTATGGAATAGATGATCACTAATAATTATCCGTTTAATTTATTCATTATTCATGTTTACATCGATCATGTCTTTACTATGGGATTAAAACAACTTGTTGCTACTTTTATGCTAAAAATTATGAAAATTAAAAGCTAAATGCCGTTAAACCTGTGTCAAGCCTTTTAAGCCTCATGAACCCCATGTTACACGTGTTGAGTACGACACGTACTTACGCTTGTTTATTTTTATTATTTGGATAAAAATCCCGGATGGGTAACAGATGGCTATGATAATGACGACTTTCCTGAGGATTAATAGACTTGTGGTCAACCAGTTGATATCACTGTGATATGGAGCTTCCGCGAGAGATTTTTTTTCTTTATACTTCCGCTATATTTACGTGAAGACTCTGTCTTATTATATATGACGTAATAAACACGTGTGATGGTACTATCTATAATTTATTGGCTTATGTGTGTGACTGATCTCTAGACGCACATAAGATTATACATCTCATTTTATCCTTAAAATCGGGTGTGACAACCTCTCGTCCTAAAAAGAATAATTCTAAGTATGAATTGTCGGGGGTGTTTGGATATAGGGACTAAAGTTTAGTTCTTGCCACATCGAATGTTCGGATGCTAATTAAGAGGAGTAAACATAAGCTAATTATAAAACTAATTATACAGATGAATGATAATTTGTGAGAGAAATCTATTAAGCCTAATTAATCTATTATTAGCGCATGTTTACTGTAGCACCACATTGTCAAATAATAGACTAGTTAGGCTTAATGGATTCGTCTTGCAAATTATTAGCCTCCATCTATGCAATTAGTTTTTGTAATTAGTCTATATTTAATACTCCTAATTAGTAACCAAACATTCGATGTAACAGAGACTAAACTTTCAACATGGGGATCCAAACACCCTTGTATTCTTTTTTTTTGACGAAAAGAGTATACCACAAGAATGATGTCATCATCATGCTTAGATCGTTTTTGTAAAGCTTGAGTTTATCTAAAAACAAAGAAATCATGAAAAAAAATCATGTTTTGGTGGTTTTGATTTCTAGCGTCCACAATAACTTTGGCTCTACCATTTTTTTGGTTTGATTTTGGTTTTTGAAGCTTATGACAGGACTTAAAATCGGTAGAGAGTGCTTAAACAAAAAGCCTTTCCAAAATGATCATTCATGTTCACTTGAATTTATTAACCCAGCTTATCAGTGATGATACAATGTTTTTTCTTATAAAAAAACAATATTAACGGATTTATCGTCTATAAAAACCATCCGCCAAATTCAAGCGACCGTCGGTGCCTGTTTAACGGCGTCGACAAGTCTAACGGACACCAACCAGCGAACCACCAGCGCCGAGCAAGCGAAGCCGACGTCACGGCCGAGACGTTGACACCTTGGCGCGGCTTCTCTCTGGCCCCTCTCGAGTCTCGAGAGTTCCGCTCCACCTCCACCGGTGGCGGTTTCCAAGTCCGTTCCGCCTCCTGCTCCTCTCACACGGCACGAAACCGTCACGGCACCGGCAGCACACGGGGGATTCCTTTCCCACCGCTCCTACCCTCTCCCTTCCTCGCCCGCCCGCTATAAATAGGCAGCCCCCTCCCCAGCTTCTTTCCCCAATCTCGTCTTATTTCGTGTTGTTCGGAGCACACACACAACCCGATCCCCAATCAATCCCCTCGTCTCTCCTCGCGAGCCTCGTCGATCCCCGCTTCAAGGTACGGCGATTATCCTCCCTCTCTCTACCTTCTCTAGACTAGATAGATCGGCGATCCATCGTTAGGGTCTGCTAGTTCCGTTCCCGTTTTTCCATGGCTGCGAGGTACAATAGATCTGATGGCGTTATGAGGTTAAGTAGTCATGCTCTTGCGATTTTTAGTCCTTTAGCACATTGATTTAATTTCGGATGGTTCGAGATCGGTGATCCATGGTTAGTACCCTAGGCTGTGGAGTCGGGTTAGATCCGCGCTGTTAGGGTTCGTAGATGGAGGCGAGCTGTTCTGATTGTTGACTTGTCAGTACCTGGGAAATCCTGGGATGGTTCTAGCTGGTTCGAAGATGAGATCGATTTCATGATCTTCTATATCTTGTTTCGTTGCCTAGGTTCCGTTTAATCTATCCGTGGTATGATGTTAGCCTTTGATATGGTTCGATCGTGCTAGCTACGTCCTGTGCACTTAATTGTCAGGTCATAACTTTTAGCATGCCTTTCTTTTGGTTTGGTTTTGTCTGATTGGGCTGTATATCAGAGTGTATACTGTTTCAGACTACCTGTTGGTTTATTTATTAAATTTGGATCTGTATGGGTGTCACATATTTTCATAATTATGATGGATGTAAATATCTCTTCATCTTTCAGATATAATATGGTAGGTATATATGTTGCTGTCGGTTTTACTGGTACTTTGTTAGATATACACATGCTTAGATACATGCTGTTACAGTTTAATAATTCTTGTTTATCTAACTAACAAATAAGGATAGGTGTATATGTTGCTGTGGGTTTTACTGGTGCTTTGTTAGATATATACATGCTTAGATACATGGAGCAACATCCTGCTACGGCTTGATAATTATTGTTCATCTAGTAAAAAGCATGCTTTTTAATTATTTTGATATACTTGGATGATGGTATCAGCAGCTATGTGTGGATTTTTGGCCCTGCCTTCATATGCTGTTTATTTGCTTGGGACTGTTTCTTTTGTTGATACTCACCCTGTTGTTTGGTGATCCTTCTGCAGATGCAGATCTTTGTGAAGACCCTGACTGGCAAGACTATCACCCTCGAGGTAGAGTCTTCTGACACCATCGACAACGTCAAGGCCAAGATCCAGGACAAGGAGGGCATCCCCCCTGACCAGCAGCGGCTCATCTTTGCCGGCAAGCAGCTTGAGGACGGGCGCACTCTTGCAGACTACAACATCCAGAAGGAGAGCACCCTCCACCTTGTGCTCCGCCTCAGGGGAGGCATGCAGATCTTCGTGAAGACCCTGACTGGCAAGACAATCACCCTTGAGGTTGAGTCTTCTGATACCATTGACAACGTCAAGGCCAAGATCAGGACAAGGAGGGCATCCCCGGACAAGGAGGGCATCCGGCAAGCGGACCAGCAGCTGCCTGATCTTCGCCTCGGGGAGGCAGCAGCTCGAGGACCCGGGCGCACTCTTGCTGATTACAACATTCAGAAGGAGAGCACCCTCCACTTGGTGCTGCGTCTCAGGGGAGGCATGCAGATCTTCGTGAAGACCCTTACTGGCAAGACGATCACCCTTGAGGTGGAGTCCTCGGACACCATCGACAATGTCAAGGCCAAGATCCAGGACAAGGAGGGCATCCCACCGGACCAGCAGCGTCTGATCTTCGCCGGCAAGCAGCTGGAGGATGGCCGCACCCTTGCGGATTACAACATCCAGAAGGAGAGCACCCTCCACCTGGTGCTCCGCCTCAGGGGTGGCATGCAGATCTTTGTGAAGACATTGACGGGCAAGACCATCACCTTGGAGGTTGAGAGCTCTGACACCATCGACAACGTGAAGGCCAAGATCCAGGATAAGGAGGGCATTCCCCCAGACCAGCAGCGTCTGATCTTCGCTGGCAAGCAGCTAGAAGATGGACGTACCCTTGCCGACTACAACATCCAGAAGGAGAGCACCCTCCACTTGGTGCTCCGCCTGAGGGGTGGTATGCAGATCTTTGTGAAGACCTTGACTGGCAAGACCATCACCCTGGAGGTTGAGAGCTCTGACACCATCGACAACGTGAAGGCCAAGATCCAGGACAAGGAGGGGATTCCCCCAGACCAGCAGCGTCTGATCTTCGCCGGCAAGCAGCTGGAGGATGGCCGCACCCTTGCAGACTACAACATCCAGAAGGAGAGCACCCTCCACCTGGTGCTCCGTCTTCGCGGTGGTCAGTAAGCCATCAGTCGTTGAAGCTGCTGCTGCACCTGGGTCATCTAGTTCCTCTTGTTTCTGCCATGGATAGTCTTTGAAGTATTTGTATGGTCTGTATCGTGACTGAGTTTGTTTCATGGACCGGTTGTGTTCCTCTGTGTTCTACCCAAAACTATTGTGCGGCAGCATAGCTTAATCATGAATAAATGTGATGTTTGAATTTGAAATATGCGCTGAATATTGTTTTTTGTTATTTTAGTTAATGTTACTAAATTGGTTAGTAGCTTTTAAATTTTGTCTACTGGTGTTTGTCTCATCTACATCTTTTTTCTGAATGTTTACTTTAGGTTCTGGCAAGCTCAATTTCTGAGACTGGTTAAAACTTGCTACCTAAAAAGAATGCAGGTCTTGATTTTCATTATTAATTATACATATTTTCTATGAATTTACTTAAAGAAAATTTGGCTTAATCAAAGCTAATATTTTCTATGAATCATATTGATATACATGTTTGATTGTCCGATTACATGTTTGATTATTTGGTTTGTTACCATCGCTATTTTCATTTAGTTTGTCTGTTCCTTATTGTAAGCTGGTTACCCCAGCGGTTTGGAGTTGATCGTTGTTACTACTTAAGCTTTCTATAAAAGCTGGATTTACCCCGTCAAAAAAAAAAAAAAATGTGTTCTTCATATTCATATCATATTACTCTGAAGCCTAGTTTTGTTCTTGACAAGAGTAAATTTTCTCTGGAGACAAAGTGGCTTGCTTTCTGCATGTCTATTTTTTGCTTGACCCATTGCAAAACAAACAACTAACCTAACTTTGTGTGATGTTGTAATGTTGTTTTGTGTCTACCTATGGGTCAAATTAGTTTACTGGATACTGCTAGAAGTATAGTTAACCCTTGATTAAAGAAATTTCACGATTATAAAACTGATGGATGAATGTTATTGGCCTGGAAACAGCTGCTTGCTGATTGATCAAGCTCTGTTTGATTTGTTAAATATCAGTATATCACAATGTGTTCAGAGAAATTAAATTCTTCATATCCTTCAGTTCGTATTGTACTGATCACTATAGAGAGCAAGTTCTGATAATGTCAATTAATTAATATTGCTTTGGCTTTTGAGTTTTGTTAGGCTAGTGTTCATCTAGCCTTGCAGGTTCCGGCTGTTTCCAGTTTCTTGTTGGATGCTCACTCTGTATTGACTATAGAGTATTCAGATACCAATGTCGGAATACTTACAAATGTCCCAATGTGGGCACATCACCCTGTGGGTTGTAGATTAATATGTTTGATTAGATTCAGATCTTGTTGAATCGAAGGAGATGAAGGACATGTACTCATGTTGGCTTGTACAGTCCCAGTCCGTTCTCAGACATACTTCTCTAATTTTTTTTTTTAGAAATAGAAATCAAGAACCTGTTTCTATGGTGCAGAACTAGTAGGCGACAGCCATCTGTCGTGTCCATTGTGACCTGTTAGAATAGTGATGGCCTTATGCAATGCCCAAAATAAACCCTTAAGACCATCACAACATAGAAAATCCTTTTTTTAAGCTGGAGGTGCATTTCATATGGCAGATAAGAGATTGCATAGTTGGCTCCGATTTGGCAAGTGATGGACGCCCACGCGACAAGATGGGATCATAGTGCTCACCAACCCTATCAATACTATTGCAAGTCGTGGCAAGATCATCAAGTTTTGTACTAGGAGATAGCATGGCATGTGATTCAGTCTTCAACTCCGTATTTCTCTCTCCAACAGTCCAGCTCCATACTTTTTCTGCACACTGCAGTAGCGTGGGACACATGAGTACACGAGCGCATACCGGAACCAATACATCTTTTGGGCCACGAAGACTATTGGACTTGTTTTGCTTGCACCACTCGTTGGACATGGGCCTCTAAGAAAAAGTCTACTCCATATTTAATTGTATTAAAATCTGTCAAGCAACACCCTTTCAAAACAAAATTCTAAAAGAGCAAGCCTGCTTAAACAATCCACCATGAAGAGCACATTACTGTAACATGTCAGCTTCTTTCAAGATGAGTACACGCTTTTGAAAAAAAAAATAATGACGAGGTCCAACTATGCATATAAATGATAGAGAAATAAAATGTAGGGGAAAAAATCCATGGCACTCTTATAATTTTTTTAAATGAGCAAAAGAGGCACTCAGAGTTGGAAAAATGAATCGGTCAAAAAGGGTAACTGACACTGAAACACATCCGTATGCATAAAACTGCTTTATCCAGCTAATAAGTGAGAGGGATATTGTCTATAGGTTCTATCCAAAACGCATCACATCTCTATCTACTGATTCAAAGCTGAAAGCTCTGTTAACCCTGACCGTATCACAATAATACTGTGAGTGTAGTTGTTTATCACAAGGAAGGGTGAGTGGGCAACAACCTTTGTGATTTCTTTTATGACCAGTTGGTGATGGTAGATGTGGTTAGAAATTTCAGCTAGTGTCCTTTGCATTTTGGTTGTATACAACACCACACACTTTGTGACCAGTGACCAACCTTTGTTTAGTTCAACGGTCCCGGCCTGCCTTCCGGCCACCTCATAGCTAAGGGTGTGTTTAGTTGGTTTCCTAGACAACGCAGGTTAGCAAAACTAAGATAGATTAGCTCTAGCCAGTTTTAACTAATGCAAGTAGCACATGTTTGGTGGCTTGTACTAGCTAAGTCTGGCTAGGAATCGGTGTGTTTGATTGTCTGATTTAGTTTGCATAGAATTACCTCTTCCTTTACCTGATAATTTTACCCCTTCGAGGACTCTATTCGAACAGGTTATGGGCATGGTAGGCGAGCACCTCGACAACCATCATCCTGTTTGCTTATGCTAAAATTTAGCTTATGTCTTATGCTAAAATTTAGCTTATGCTGATAGTTATATTGAAATATTACGATAGGAAACAGTGTTCCATGGATAAAAAATAGTTCCCAATAAGCAAAAAGCGAACAGGGTGGCAGCAGGCCACCACGCCACGCCCTTGGCGCACGAGTCGGCAGCCGCGCTGCTTGCGACGACACCTCCGTAGCATGAGGAAGAAGAATACAGGGGACCTTGAGCCAAACCACATGCGAGCACCCCCACTGTCCCCACTGTCCGCCATGGAAGGCACCTGGCGGCCGGCGCGAGTGGTGGAGAAGAGCTCGATTTGGAGGCGGGAAAGCTCGATTGGTAGGTGAGAAGCTCGATTCGGCGGTGGGGAAAGTCGATTCGGAGGCGGGGAAGCTCGATTCCGGCGCCAGGAGGCTCAATTCGGGCTCCGGCGAGCTGGAGAAGAAGGCCGGTGGAAGTCGTGCTTGCCGGCTTGCTCGTGCTCATGGTTGCCGGTGTGCTCGTGCTCCTGCTTGCCAACATGCGCGTGAAGGCTGGCGTGCTAGTGCTTGCCGGCGTGCTCGTGCTTGCCGGCGGTAGTCGCGTGCTCCTGCGTGCTCGTGAAGGCCAGCGTGCTCGTGCTTGCCGGCAGAGGCTCCTGCGTGCTCGCGTGCTTGCAGGTGGATGTCGCGGCGGGGGATCCTTGCCGATGGAGGTCGCGTGCTCGCGTGCTTGCCGATGGAGGTCGTGGGCGTGCTCGCGTGCCTACCGGTGGAGGTCGCGGAGAAGAAGGTGCAGCAGACTCCACTCGGTGGTGAGACGACACATTGGGGTGCGTAGCCAAGCCTGGCTCAGTGGAAACGACACCTCAGCTCGTTTCCAGCGAGCCAGCCTCTTCTCCACTTCTTGGCTTTCTAGAGCCTGGCTTAGCATCTTCGTAGCTATCTAAACACGAAGAAGACTAGCCTCTAAGTCACCAACCAAACACACCCTAATTAATATAGCAGCTAACCTCAAAATAAATAGAGAAAATTGTGTTCTTACCCTGTCCAGTAAGCTAATTGTGATTTTGCCCTTCCTTTTTCAACTTTGTGTTTTTACCCCTGTTATTTTGAACTGAATGGTCTGTTTGCCCCTGCTTCTGACGTCCGTCAGATGGACATGGATTAAACGAATTAAAAAAATTCTAAATCTAAAAAACAAAGGCCAAATGACCATAGTGCCCCTTATCCTTATCTCCTCGTCCCAAACGCATAGGGCGTCGTCGCTCACATCGGACTTGGGCGCGGCTTTTCCAGCGGCGGCTGCAGAAGCACCAAAGGGGAGGGGAGGCCACGACTCTAGGTTCGGGCGCAGGGAGGGGCTGCTCTTCGGCGCTGGGCTGCTCCCGGTCGCGGCTCCAAGGTGCGTCTTGTGACCTTCCTCTAGGCACGGGAGGCCATGGGCGCCCCCTGGTCAGCGTCTTGTGTGGCTGAAGGTGGCGGCGGCGGCGGCGCCATCATGGCTCACCCATGGCGTCCGCCTGAGGTCCCGGTGTCCGCCGTAGGTCCCGGTGGCTCCCGGCCATGGTCGTCTTCTTCCTCGGGCGCGCTGGCTTCGTGGGCTGCAGGGCGGGTAGAGAGACATCAGGCGGGCGGGCGAGCGGGCGGCTCCGGTGCTCGGACGCAGCAGCTCCGTGGCGCCTAGCCATGGCTCCCGGCGGCGGCCACGGCTCCCGGTGGCGCTGGCGGTGGGTCTCTCGCGCCGCCTCCGCTTAGCTTCGCCGAGGTGAAGGACGGGACCAAGCGCGATTGACACATCGGGGCGTCGGATCGCCAGACTAGGCCTGGATCGCCCACCAAAGACGTCGCCATGGCCGGAGCGGCACGGTCTCGCCAAGATAGCACCCATCACCGGAGCGGAGGGAGCCGGCCTCGCCCGGTAGTTGTCAGCGGCTCATGAGTAAGGCCCATCATTAACGGGTGGCTGCTTCCTCTTCCTCCTCTCGAGCCCCGCCTCACCCCTCACCCTAAAGGCGGTTCGCATTGCTTGCCGACTTCCGAAGTTCGAGTTCGACTTTGGACACACTCACCCTAAGGCGGAATCCTCCGCTGCATGCCACCGCTTCATTGTCGAACCGCCGCTTGCGCCACTGAAGGGTTTATCAGATCAAATGGGGACTTTAGTGCGGTGATGCCTCACGGTG